ACAGAAATTCAGGGTACACCTGGCCTCTACTCGTGGGAGTAAGGGGTGGGTTGTTTCATTTCTAATACTTTGGGGGTCTCTTGCCAGCCTGACCATGGTTCCCTGACCATGGATGTCTCTTGTAGCTATCTTTCACCCAGTGAGTGTAGGAATATAGCACTTGGAGTGCTGAGATGAAGCCAACCCATAGCTGCTTCTCTGAGTCCTGGGTTCACTTGGCCTCTGCCTAGATTGGTGTCAAACCTTGCACTCTCCCCAAAAGATATGACAGTTGCTTGAACTGGTGTTGCTTACCAGCTGTTGTAGCACACAGCAACCACTGATCCATTCAACTGGTATATTTGTCCCAAAAGCCTCCCCCACTTTCTGTGTGTCTCTGTAGAATCAATCTTCCTTTCCTGTGTGGCATGAGTCAGGCACGATGGAGAAAGTGTAAATTTCCCCTTCCATTTTCTTCATTGTGTTCTGACTTTAATTTCTCTGTGGGCTGCAATTTTCCTGCCAGATCTTTCCTGTGTGCCATGAGTCCAACTACCCACTTCTCTGTTTCCCTGATTTGTTGTTTTCCACTCTCTGTATTGTGAACCTTGGACATGCTGATTTGTTACTCCTTACCACTTGAACCATCTTCCTGAAAATCTTTGTTATTGTTTTTAAATCTTAAATGTTAATAGTGCAGGTTTCAGACAAGACAGGCAATGAGCAGGTGAACAACAAATAGAAAAGTGTTTGAAAACTCTTGTGTTAGCTAACAGTCTTCTGAATATATCACTTTGGTCCACAGAGAAAGATGGAGAAAGTAACAACGACATGTTGTGACAGCTACTACAGCTTTAAAACAAAACTAGCATCTCTTTGGATTTTAAAATTGTTCCTAGATGGCTTATTTTTTTAATCAAATAAATAAGAGGGGTTTTCCTTGGGGAATGTGTAATGCATTGAAAAATAAAACTAGTGTTTTATCTTTCTATTCAATTCCATCAGTCGATATCAATTATCCATGGTATGCACTCTATCAAAAGGCTTGTACTTTAAAGTTTTGGGTGGAGAAATACATATAAAATAGAACTTTATCATAATTCTTGTACATGTAATTCAGTTAGAGTCTATTTGTTTATGACTCATTGACTTTTCCAAGATCGAAATTTAACTCTGGTAGATATATGCTTAGCCAATGTCATTTGAGATATCTTTGAATGCAATCATTGTGATGAATCTATTGACCCTCTCACTGACCATTACAATGATGAATTGGTTATGAACAAAGGCAGGAGTTTAAAAAGCTATACTGAAATATATGTTTGTTCCCCAAAATGTAAATTAGAGGAGTGATTTTATTGGTTGAATATTCACATAGTGATTAGAAACATTGAACAGCTGCCGCACGTTAAGAAAATGGAAAGAGATTCTCTGTATAATGATATGAGGGACAACACTAAGATCAAAACATTAGATTTTGACCCAATGATGGCCCGTCCTGAGCCACTGCCATAAAAGCTACAAATAAACACTTGTCTTTGAGTTCTACATCATCCTCTTTTCTGAGCATTTACATCTGTAGATAATTTGTTTCTCCTGAGATCCTTGCTAATACAAGATCCTAATTACTTTTTGGCTGATACTTCTTTGCCTCTTTCACTCATCATTTGATAAAAAGAAGCATTTGAATTTCTCAGAACAAAAAGTAACAACTTCTTCCAATACTACAATTGCAAAAGAATTTATCACAATAACCTTTTCCAGAGGACATCAATTTATATAATGGGCAATATTTTGACGAGAGATGGACATCAAACAAATAAACAAATTTTAAGTGTATATTCCTTATTGATCACTGATAAAAGTAAAAAGCGTCACTTTAAATGATTGTTCTTTGAATGATATAGTGAGACTAAGAAAATGAAATTCGAGCAAGTAAGTTTCTGTTCATCAAGTTTGAGTGAGGGGATAACACATTTCCCTTCAATGCCTTCTTCTACTAAAAACTCCATAAACTTAGAATTTAAATAGCACTAATTCATGTTTTTGACAAGAAGCAGATAAAATCCTTACTCTATAAGCATTTGTGGGAAAAGATAAAGAGAAACAAGGGAAATCTTAAACAAGAAGAAATGGTGAAAATCAATATTATCACCTGTATGTTTCCCATAAAACTAGCACAATAAGAGATTAGAGATTTTTATTTTATTTTTGTTGTGGATTTTTGTTGGTTTATTTTTGTCTTCTCTTTGTCATATTTATTTGCCCAAATTTCAGGGCAGTCCAAGATATACTTGAAGCCAAGGATCTATAGTAAGAGTATCACATGGTCTCCATAATGCATAATTAACTACTGGAATTTTTGATGTAAAATAATATCAGCACAATAAATAAAATGTTCTGAAATCTGGTGTTATTGAATTTAATGAAGATGTACACTGCCTAAATAATTTTGAATAAATTATAAAAAATAATTCTCTAATACCACAAGACCCGCTTTTTTCATTTAGGTATTCTCATTTTAGATTAATTTGTCAGTCTTTATACTTGTTAAGACTTCTATATATGTTTTCTTTTGGGAATAACATGCATGTTAAAAATGAGAGGAAATTTATTATCTACTTTCCTTTGAATTAGCTGCTCATAACAGACCTGAACCAGCTTTAATTATTTTATCTTATGTGTAACATAGCTGTTAAGATAGCTAGGTCAACAGGAAGCCCATATAGTTTAAGATTTAAATATAATATTCATTACATTTTGACTCTGGGCACAGTTATATATGTTCCCTATGCCTACATTTCAATGCATACAAAATAGTAGTATAACATCATCTAACATTTTAGTCATTTGAACATTAAATGAGATGTTGCATATAAAATAAATGTTAGATCATTATAAGATCTAGTAATTATAGTGACCAAAGTATCATGGGTAGTTAGCAATTGTGTTGGTAATATGATAAAATAAATCCCTTTTCACCATTTGTTGGATCTTTAATCAGTTTGGCCTGAACCTGGGTAGTTCTACAATGGCATGTCCTGGAAACTTTTCCAAAATGAAGTCACACTAATTTGAACAATTGATATGTCACAAGATGAACTTACTCTAGTGACTCCGGACTGTTAAAATATAGAATTTATGTCCATAATAATAATAATCCATTTTTATTCATTCATTAAACCATCAATCATCTAAAATCTATCATGTATCAAATATTTTAACATGCTCTTGAGACACAGTAATTGCTAAGACATAATCTGGAAACTCAACTTGTTCTGGGTCAAAGTAGAATTTTTAAAAACCATGAAGATAATTTATCAAGTGATTACCACATGCTTGGCTCAAGATGAAGTTATTTATTTTGCATTTCTCTAATGGCCAGCAATGTTGATCATTTCTTTT